CGCAAATCGGTCGATTACAATGGTTGACGTAGCTAGATTTGAAGAATTTGACTCAATTTGCCTCAATCGATGAACTTTAGTCTAGCCTACGCTATTGAGAGGGTGGCGAACGGCACCGCACAGCACCGAACAGCGTTTAGTAGTGACTAAAGTTGTTCAAGCCATCGATTGAGTCAAAGTAAGTGTGAAATGGTTTGAGAAAAGGCAATTTTACCAGGTGCAACTACTGTAATGGAAATTTGAGTTACTTCGGAGTTAGCGAGCGGCACCAAGCGGCACAGCACAGCAGAGTACCGCACAGCATTCCTCTACTGGACAGCCCCCCAGCAGACTGATTCAGAAGAGCGCTCTCCTCGCTCCGCCTCTCTCCCACTCATGGGGCGCGCCGTACAGGTGCGAGAGAGACGGAGCGAGGAGAGCGCTCTTCTGAATCAGTCTGCAGGTGGAGGTCGCCACCTGCCCGCCCGGACCCGCGAGTCTGCGTCTAATGGAGCGTGACAAACGCCGCGATAGAAGGGGCGGAGCAGGCGGTCGGGGTCGGGCGGCCCCGCCCCGCGCGGGCGGCCCCCTTGCTTGCGGCCGGGGCATGCGATTCGCCAACCACCGCCGGCGCGCCGCGGCAGCCGCGGCCCCGCGGCGGGGGTCGCAGCCTCCGCCCCCTCGAGGAGCGGCCGCCACTCTGCGGGGACTCTAAACCCCTCCGACTTCGGCGGCAGCTCTGAAAGGGGAACGGAAGAGCGGCGACGGCGGGTGCCTCGGCGTGGGTAGAAGTAAAGAAGAGAGTTGCGCGCGGAGGCGGGGCAGGCTGGCAGTTCGCTCGCCCTGCCGCGCTCCCCCAAGGCACAGCCCCAGCCCCTAGCCAGCCCGCAGCAGTACTCGAGAGAACTTCGCCGTTTACGATGATGGCGACGAAACCCTAACTCAGCGGGGGGGCCTAAGTCTGGCAGAGACTGATACCCTAAGTGGCGTTATACTTGTCACACTCCTCCCTCCTCCCCTGACCCCCCTTCTCGTGTGTCGCCCTCCACTCCTGCCCCGCTCAGACCGGAAGCGC